AGAAACAAACACCCTACGCAGCTAAGGATTTCAAATCTTCCTAGAAACCAGAGCCAGAGAGAACACAGAGGAGCTGCCTAACTCCTGCCCAATTACCTTAAACTTAGCCTAAACTTTGAACTCTTCCCTGACAATGTTCATTTCTTGGATATAATTGAATATAAGTGACATTTATATACATACAAATGTCATATTCTCTCTATGAAAGCTGATTTCTGAGAAACCAAAGAGAGTTTTGAGATCTTCATTACTTTCAAAGAGAGAGGAATGAAAATTTTTCTTGAGTCTCTAGTGCAAAACTTACCAAAATGAAAACCAGGATGTTGATTCTTACTAAGACAGATTAATGTGAACAAACCCACCCAGCTCAGCTGGATGCAGAAGGCAGTCAGTGAGTTGCCCTTTCAGTCTATGGTGTTGACCATGGAAGGTTCTCCATATTTTGCAAAGAATCATGACACTGTATTGCCTTTTCACCAAGATACATTTCTTACTGTACCATTATCAGGATCTATAATACTGGTTTGGTTTTTTTAAAAAAAGTCATTACAACTGCAACATCTGCGGATATAACAGTCCTCAGTAGGCTTTGCCTACAAGAGCCTTATTGGGCTGCTGAAAGTTGAGGAACTCTGCTGGGTGTGTCAACCCTGTTTAATAATCCACTTCAATCTTTGTTTCCCAAGAGGCATGCAACAGGACAAACTAAAAACTTAGACTCTTATATCCTGGAGCATATTCCACTTGAAGTTTCTTAGATCACAGCCCAGTTAGAATCACATCCAAATACCTTCGTGCAGTTTATCTACAGTTCTGTAAGTTGAACGTCTTGAAGGTTAAAGCATTATTGCAATTTTTCTTTATATTTCAGCAATATTTAAACATGAAACCCTGAATATATATAAGGTACCATCATTAAGTAAATAAACAGAACACTGAAAAAATGCACCACATTGGTCTTGTTATTGAGACTAAAAAATGTATGTTAGTGATGCTTTCATTATTTTTTTGTCTAAATATTTAAGGACCATACAACTCATTGAGAAACGAAATGTCAGAGAATTGAAGAACAATGTCAAATATATCTTCTAAATTCCTCATTAAGTGTCCCCAGTTATATTTCAAAAGATTCTAAATATTTATAAGTTTCTAAATTATTAGTCATGAATTAATCATTTTATACAGAACTATTTCCACAAGTTGCTTTATTAGTTTAGTGATGATTTAGAGAAAAAAAAGCTTAACAAAGTTTAATTTCATCCATGAATGAGTTAATAAAGGAGGAATGCAGATATCTAACTGCACAATTCTCAGCCATTTCTGAAGGAGGAGGGTGCAGCAGAGGGGGGAATACACAGAAGATTGAAAACCTGCAGATTAAAATGCAACAAACCAATATATTTCAGTGTAGACTAAACATCCCGTCTCCCTCTTTGGACAAAAATGACCCCAATTATTCCCAAGCCAGGAATTTCCTACAACTATCTCATGTGCAGCAAAGCCTCCTTCTCCACAACGATCTTCTCTGAAATGCCTCCTAGTTGTCTAAGCAAGAACTTGTAGGAGTCTCCCACTGGCAGGAGGTTGACACTGAGCCCACAGACACAGCAGGTGAACTTGAGGGATATGCACTGCCTGAACAACACTCACCAGGGACAGCTCACACCTCATGGAGACAAACAAAATAGCACTGGCAATTTGAAAACACAAGGAGCAGCAAGGAGTGGGAAACAAAAGTAGGATCCATGCACGGTTCAAATATTCTGGTTACAGTGGACCAGGAGTGGGTCTAAGGTTTATCATCATTAACAGAGGAGAAGAGCTGGATATGGGAGTAGGACAGCAGACTGAACAAAAAGCTTGGCCAGAAGCATGCAGAGATACAACACAGCGAAAGACCTGCTGCAGATCTTAAACAGATATAGAGGAGGATGTGTTTCTCAGAAATGATTCAAACCTGGGAAAGTCCAAAAAACATCACAAAAGGCAGATAAGTTTTCTAGCTCTTTAAAATTAAACAATGTACCAAGCAGGTATATATGATATGCAAGCCTACATGCCACTAAACTGATACCATCTTCCTCTGCAAGTTCCTAAGATAACTGTTTTATCTGTATCTAAAGAAATAATTTCCTTTTCAATTAGATATGGATGCATTCAACAGCTCTAATCAGAACAATCTGCAAGCAACAGTGCAGCTGGTGCTTCATCAAGATGCCTCCCTCTTCCCAATCTAATTTAGTCATTCTAGTGGCTAAAAAATGATTTTTCCATATAGGTGACATTATAACATCCCCCGAGGCATTCCAGAGAAGCAGAAACACTTGATTTTCACTTAGACCAAAACAACCCTTTCCTGCAGCAGCCAACGGTGCTGCTCCTTGAATGGTAAGATCTGTGAACAAAATTTATTAGGAGGTAATACAGAACTCAAGTTGATAAAATTACACTTCTATAACTCTGGTACTTCCTCCACTCTGAAGCGATACAGGAAAAGAGTCTGCTGCATGGTGAAAGAGAAAATGTTAAAAGTAAGAAAACCCATAAAAGTCTAGCAATATAATGGTTCAGCTCTGACACAGGCCTGCAGCAGTAACTGATGCTGATGATTAGCAGATGGTCCAGATAGATGCATTATCTATTTTTTTTTTCTACAGAATTTTTGTGTTCTTTAAATTCAGAGATGTGACATGAAGATCTGCATGTGCCATACACCTACTGAAGAGAAATTAATTATCTTTTACTATACTTTGGTGGGTTTACTCTGGAACACTGTTTTCCATTTATGATGCAGATACACTGCCAATAGCTCCAGCTGCACAAAGTGGCAATAATTCCAGCTACCTTTCAACAATGTAAAAAAAACAGTTCAAGTCACAACGATGACCAAAACCAAGCTTCATCTGTACAAGCAGGAAGAGTGAACATTGGCTGTGTTTAATCCAATGGAAATTTTGGTAAAGACTTCAAGTACAGTTAGATTAAAATCAGGAGAGCCTTCAAGATTTTATAAATTTATACTAGAAGTTGATTAGACATAGCGGAGCTTAAGAAAATCTGAATCCAAATGCTCATTAGCCAAGTAAGGTATTTTCCTGTCTCACTTCACTTTTTACATGTTCTCATGTGCTCTACTCCCTCAGTACTGTCAGGGGTGACAACAGTGAGGTGGCCAGATAAGAAAACAGAACTACCACAGCTGGATTAATCCTTATTTTTCTAATATATGCTTCTCTGAATAATAAAGATATCAACAGTCAATTGTAAATGAATACAGCATGTAATCTTACTAAAGGTTTCCTTTAAACAGGAAAAATAAGGAAGTGAAAACTACTGAAAAATCTCTTGTATTATCTGAACACATTTCAAGTGTTATTTCTATTAATTTCTGGCAGCAGCTTTCTTTCTTTGGCCCCCAGCAACTGCATCCTAAAGATATGAATTTTTTGATTCACAGTTCACTGAGGACCTGATTTCCAGCTCAAGGCTGGTAAGCACTAGCAATTTATGGAATGTAATGGCTGGTGTCATACAGGGGGGCAGACCGTGATCTCACGGTCTCTTCTGGCCTTAAACTCAAGGAATTATTATCCAATTTTGTAGCTAATTTCCTTGGAAGTGAACTCTATTTCCATTTTAATGCAGAACTGTAAGATGATGATAGAGACAATACACAGATCTGCCTGAAAGTTGAAAGGTAACAAACGAGAACACTCCAGATAACAAAAAGCAGCTGCATGAAGGAAGTTTTAAAGTAACAGTGCACATGCTTAAAACAGTGTGCTAGACAATACTTTTATAAAATTAGGCAAGAAAAAACTTGGATTGCTTACAGGGCAGCAGAACTTTTTAGGGTTAACTGTTCATCTGTCCAAAAAGCAAGAGAGCCCAGTGAGCGAGCAGCACACACCCCGACAGACACAGACACAACAGCCACACAGAGCACACAGGATAGCACTGGAGCACTGAATCAATTAACCCACTCCGGCTTTTTTCCAGCCAAACCCCCCACTCACTCACTCCCCTGCTTTTCAAGCTGGATACGCTGGAATGAGTCAATCAACAGACTGCACACAGACTCTGCTCATCACTGAAGTAAAATCAACAAAGGATGGAAAGGAAAGGACAGCAAAAAAGAACACAACCTTATTTCTATCTTTTTTTAAATGTGGTAAGAAAGATTCCTCTCGATTTCACAGTTGGAGAAAATATCTTGGTGAGAAATATTATTTTTCCAAAATACAAACTCTTAATCTTGGTGATAGAAGAAAATATAAGTGCTAAACAAAAGCACATGAAGAAATAAGCTTCAGAAATATTATAACAGCAAAAAGCAAGGATCAACTTGTTTTCCAGAAAGTAGTGAAAAATCTCAAAATTCAACATGTGACAAAAAAGAAAATTACCAAGGATCTTCCTGGATGCAAAGTGAACTCTGCTAAAAAGAGAAAGAGGTAAGGTTTTCTTCAGCTGAATATTGCAACACTCAAATCTTCTCAGTAACTGAGAATCTGCTCAGTTTAACGCTGGAACAGCTGTTTTGAGTCTCTGCTTGAAGGGGGAAATGCAAGTCTTAAGTCTTTAGCAGAGTTGAGAGAGACACAGAAGAGACAGAGAAAGAAAGAAAGAGAAAGGAAGAGAACAGGCTGTGCTTAATAAAAGCCCTGCTCAGATTACAAAAACAAGCATTTTACTCACCCCCACCCCTTCAAGTAATGGGTAAATTTAGATGTCTCAGTTTGATAAATCTTTACGGTCCCCTTGAGACTGTCACCAGTGTTTTACTGTCTGCAGCTTCCTGACCCTCACCTGATAAATTAGGAACTGTAGAGATTAAACCGGAAACCTCATACATAATTTCTGAAGGTATTTTTGGGTTACCCTCTGTGGAGAAACAGGATTCTTAATAAGGGGAAATATGGGAACTGCTGCCTGCCTACGCATACACTGCTGGAGACAAGACACTCAGGAGAGGAGGAGTTGCAAACACACCACTCGAGCATCTGCCTTTGCATCAGTTTGTACTCACAAAGAGCAAACCTACATACACTGCATCTAAACGGAACTGTTTGGCATTGGGATTCTTCTATCACTTTTTTACTGCTGTAAAAAAAAAGAAAAAGAAAAGGAAGCTAATGCACTGCTTACTTTTCACAGCTACTGAATTTTTCCCTATAATCTTCTGAAATTGAACCTCGCTATAAAGGGGAGACCAGACCACTGAACCCTACCAACCAGAGATGGACACAAGAGAGGACTTTCATTTTTAAGCCTATTTTGCACTCAGCAAGGCACAGGATAAAAAAATTGGATACCAGCTCGGACATGGTCACAGTATCTCAAAATAGCAGATGACCAGTTCACCATACTGACCATGCTGGCCTTTCTTCAGGACCATCCTGGACCAGAGAGGAACAGTGAACCCTTGCACCGTACACAATTCCTGCGCAGAACACAGCTCCTGAACACGTTCTGCTGGACACAAAAATGTCACATCCTTTACATTTCTTGAACGGGTTTGGAGCTGGCAATGGATCTTTGCCAGCTCTCTCAGTAACAGGAGCGCCCAAGCAGGACGACCCAAGTGACGAACAAGGAAACAAAGTGCGCTGGGCAGCGTTGCTGATCCTCCTGGTGATAATCCCCACCATTGGGGGGAACATACTTGTCATACTGGCCGTGTCCCTGGAGAAAAAGTTGCAATATGCTACCAACTACTTTTTGACATCCTTGGCAGTGGCAGATTTGCTCGTGGGTCTGTTTGTGATGCCCATTGCCCTCCTCATAATATTATTTGGTAAGTAGAGCATGTTTGTTTCATCAGGTTTGCATATGGGGTGCAATTTGGGGAGGTCTAATTTAAACAGAAAAACTGTTTGCTCTCCACCATTACAATTTTAAAAATCACTTGCATGAGGGCTGCTAAATCTTTTCTCCCTTTCACCTCAATAGAGCTTAATACTTTTATGGGAAGCAGAACCACCGTGCATATTCCTTCCTTTGAAACAAACCATTCAAAAATCACCCGAGACTTAGAACTGATTTAAATAGGAGCTGGACACAGGAAATTACATTTTGTACAGTGTAATATAATTTTTAACAACATCAGCACAATGCTGGTATTTCTTGTATTGGATATTATACTAATTGCAGGCAGTCTTCTCTTAAAGAACTTGAAATTAAGACTAAGTATCTGTTCAGGACACTGAACAGGTTTTGAACTTTCTAGGAGTCAGGCACCAGATTTTACCTGGGTATTGACTCCAAGGTCCATGAGCAGAGATGGTCCCTGGCACCATCAGTGCCAACGAACTTTACCAGTACCAGTTTCAGAGAAATCCATTTTCTCCCACCCTTGGGAAAGCAGTAGGTTTGTAAAGCATCACAAAGAATTAACTTATCTGTCAAGCCAAGGAAGCCTCAATCCATGTACCTAATGTTTGAAATTCAGATTTGTCATTTAGTTTGTTTTATATGAAATAAAATAGGAGGTTTTTTTAACCTGAACATAAACTGGGTGTGACATTTTCTAGTCCTTACAGAACAAGTATGATTTTTCCAAAATCTCTCATGCCCAGCTTTACTTCAGATATTGCTTCTGACAACTAATCAGAGGCAGCTCCATGGGAAAGTCTCTCTCTTTTACTCTTAAGGTTTCTTTAAGAATACATTTTAAATGGTTTATTTTCATATCATAAATGGAAAAAAAAAATAGTAAGACAGGTTTTTCAAGAAACTTATAGATTTCCATCATTATCTTTAAGGTATAGATACCACTGGGCCCTAGATAACAAAAGGCTGCAGGAGTTCATTTTTCCTAGGCTAGACTCTAAGAGTTGCCAGAGCAACAAGCACACACAATCATAAACTTTATTTCAGAAAGGCCATCAGTAGCTTTTGTTTGCTGCAGAAAACTGGTATCACTTTATTAACAAATGTGTTTATTCACTAAATGCCTTGAGAATGAATTTCTGTATAATACAGACTTCTTCTCCCTAAACAGAAATGTAAATTGGAGCTCAGAATTCAGTGTTGAGATAGTAAAATAGTTTTTTCAAGCAGCAGTTTCTAAAAAGAAAATTGAATGTACATAACCAGGACAGTGACTTTAAACTCAAAAAAACCAGTCACTTATGGAAAACCTTGGTATGCCAAGTACGTGTGAGGAGGCAAGGAGCAGATAAACATTTACATACACACAGATACTGTAACTGCTTAATTCCTGCCACAGGTCTCATTAATAATAAAGCTACTAACCATAACAAGTACTAGTATCGACTTGCAATTAACATAAAGGGAAGGCAAATTCTGCATTTTGTGGAGTTCTTTTTTTGGTGGTGGAGGAGTTGTTATGGTTTGGATTTTTTTTTTAATATATAATTATTTTTCTTCTGCTAGACTAAAAAAATCTTTTCTTTACAACTTTATAAAGAGACTATTGCTCCTTAATCTCTCAATTAATCCAGTGCTATGCCCTGGTTACACCAGTTTAAAGCACGCTAGGAATCTTAATTCAGAAGTCAAACAAAAACATCTTTCATGATGCAGGAAATGTACCAGAAGGTAGTAAAATCAGTTGTAATTAATGAAGACTGCAACGCACCTTCCACATAACAGTGGTTAAAACTCAAATTTCTCACATACAAGTCTCCCTTTGGCAGGCAACCAGAAAACTGCTTTGTCTCTTCACCGACTGGGAGAAGATGCTGAGGTGTTTATAGAAGTTCAAAGCGTGAGCAAAACACGAGGAGTTACTGGAATGAAGCTAGAACAGACCTTTAAATACATGACAAGTCTAAATCTTGAAGCTACATTAGCCAGATAACTACTTGAACAAAGAATAGTCATTGATAGCCAGACAGCAAACTAAATGCAGCCTCCTGGCACTTCCACACAGGAATGTTTCCACAATAACGAGAGAGCCGGGTGCAGCTTCCAGATACTGAGTACAAATATTATGCTTCCGATTTGGGTCTGATGTCTAATTATGTGGGGAATATTTGAGGGAAAAGGTGTGAAATAAAGTGCAGTCACACTAAGATCCTGACTGCACAAATTAATGTGTCACAGGGTGTTCAAAACCCGCTACAGATACCGGTACACTTACCGAAAAAATCTTCAGAAATAGATTGTCCCTGTAACAAAGCGCTGGCCCTTTTAAAAACATGCAAATAAATGAATCTGTAACTCACTCCCAGGTGTAATGCCATGCTCAGCACATTATTTATTCTCAGCAGAGCAACCAAAATGTACTCCGGTACGAGCACACACAGCAATTTTAATTTAGAAGCACAAGTGTCAGAATACATAAACATTTCATAGCTTTTATTCCTTGCTAAATTCTTCTCATTTCTGAAAAAAAAAAAAAAAAAAAAAAAAAAAAAAAAAAAAAAAAAAAAAAAAAAAAAAAAAAAAAAAAAAAAAAAAAAAAAAAAAAAAAAAAAAAAAAAAAAAAAAAAAAAAAAAAAAAAAAAAAAAAAAAAAAAAAAAAAAAAAAAAAAAAAAAAAAAAAAAAAAAAAAAAAAAA